ATGCGAGACCTAGGCACACATGGAAGCTAAAACTAAAACTTCCGATGTCATTTATGACCAGAAAATGTATTTTCGAAATTTCAATCTGCTTTCTCATCTGGTTCCGGAGTTAGAAAATTTTTCGCCAACTGCACGTGTTCGCACATGAAACGTGAACGCATGTGGAAGCTGATCCTAAAATTTTTTGACGACATATGAAATCCGCCTCAAATTTTAGCTTCCTAGTTCTTTCGATCCTCAAGTTGGTAATTTTTTCGTTAAAATTTCACGCTTCCGTACGTGAGGCCACATTTGAAAGCTTAATTCGAAGCCTTTGAAACGTGTATAGGCAATGAACATATTCCTAAAATTTTTGCCTCCCAGTTTTTACAGCTAGCAAATTCTCCGCCAACAATTTTAAGTGTTCTCATTTGAGATCTAGACTTACTTGAGCACTGGATTTAAACCTGAACATCCTCCTAAAATTTCAGCCTTCTAGTTTTTCTGGTTCTCAAGTTCGTAATTTTCATATGGCCGTACTTTAAACTTGGGTGCATGTAAATGCTGAATTCAAATCTGCTAGGAAACACACGGAGAGAGAACCTTTACCCATAATTTTACATATCCAGCTTACGTGGTTGTTGAGTTGAAAACTCCAGACGAAATGCGGTCGGTAAAGCACAAAGAGATGTACAAACAGGATCACGACAATACGCATTTTGTGTAACTGTTTTAGCAAAAAATGCACAATAAAAATTGATACCTGTTGGTACCAGAGATCCCAATTCTCTTTGCCTTTGCCACAATGATCCATAGAAGAGTTGGAACTGAACCGAAGTTCATTACAGCAACTGTCCGGCACATAGTCACTGTTGGGCCATCTCTGGTTCCCGAACCAATCGGCTGGGCCATTTATACCGCAGCAGTGAAACTAAAAAAAACTACCCGGCCCTACTGTAAAAGGCAATGTAGACATGCCTCTGCGGCTAACAACACCAAGAAATGCACGATCTGAAATTACAAAATTTAATAAAATCGACGCAATGCCCATTGCTGCAAAAGCAAAAGCGCTCGGCCCCATCGGCTGAATGTACTTACTAAGCCGGGCGAATGCATGAGACTTACAACTTTCTGCATCTCATCCCACGTCAGGTGGCTGTTCAAGAACACCTCATCTCGATACCCGTTACGCAACAAGCTCTGCTCCATATCACTACGCGCTCGGTCGTACACGTCCGGCTGATAGCTCAACGTCAGGTAACACACAACTGCTTGAGCCATCATCAGAAGCACAGTGAGCAATGTGTACTGAAAATGCATCTACTCTAGCGATCAGACACAAACAAAACTCCAAGTAAGAATTAAACCGTAACACTTCAGCTTTGCTGAGATAATCATTGAGCAGTCGGTGGACTTACGGTAAGAAGAAACATGCGCGACTTCATCCATACGCCGAAACATCCGACGAACGTGATCAAAATCGCAATCAGTCCAGCAGCAACACAGAAGCCAACCGCAGAAATGGTACCGTAGCCAGGCGGGATGAAATCAACGTAATCCCGTTTAGCCATGTACCACCAGATACCGACGAGCAGCGAGCCAAGCCCAAGCAGCTGAAATGAATCACAGAGCCATTAAAAGCGCGCACAAACTACGGGAGCGGAAAAAGCGCCTTACCCAGAGAACAGCGTTGCAGAGGAAGAAGGAGCGCTTCTGGACGCCGTAATCCAAGAAACACCTCGCCATGCAACCTGCAACAGAGCACAGCACGCCAGAGCGACAACCGCGCTGGCGCCCCAAGCACGCACACAATACGGCCGCAAACGCAAAACCCCTCGCACCAGCCCTCATCGGCCGCCGATCCCAGCGCGACATGTCTCCGAGCCCAGCAATCACCCTCCTCCTCTTCCTTCTCATCCGCCTCCCTCCCCGACTAACGTACCCAACAATCCAATGACACACAAGAATTACTAAACAGGCTTGTTTTCAGACTTGGGGCGGATTCCCACGCCACCATCCTTCTATCCCCTTGCAACTCGTTTCCTGTCCAGGCCAAGCTAAATCGAGTTTTGGTTGCCAAACACGGCAATTATAATAACCCGGCTCGACTCGGCTGATGGTTTATGGTGCTTTAGCCTTCCATCATCTCTACCAACACTATTCCGCGGCGCCGCTTGCTGGAGCTTTGCCAGACGCGCTGGGTAGCGTTGTTCCGTGTCTGGCGGCTGAATTACGTGGCTGGCGGGGTGATGGATGGGAGGACTGGACGTGGTTGGGGGGACGGGGGTGGGGAGTGTTGGTTGGTAATTGCCTAGGTACAGCTCGGAGAGCGCGATCAAGGCCAGGATAGTGGGGACGAATGAAGTTGCTGGTTAGGAGTATAGAACGATAAACGGTGACAGTGGTTGGAGGTGGTGGGTGCCCCGATGTGGCTCTGGAGACTGGGGTTGGGAAGAGGATACAAGAGGGGAAGAAGGGTGCTAGTGAGGAGTTCAGAGCAAGAATTGCAGATAGCAATAAAGAGGAAAATAAAGAAAAATACAAAGGCACTACAAAGAAAAAAAATGGCCAACGCACGGGCTGCCCGTGCGAAGATGCGTTTTTTGCAGAGTTCCCCGCAGG